CACCTCTGCGTCGATAAACTCGTAAATCATTTCGGTGTTGAAATCTAAAGAGCCATCCATCTGAAGCTAAAAAAATTCCTAATTCCCATTAATATTAACTCGACTAATTTCTTCGCTTTGTTTTGTAAAATATTACCATTAAAGGTGATACCATCTTGAAATGCCTGCTCCGCCCTAAAGATACAGCCTCTTCAATTCGAGGAAAATAACTCTTGCGTTCTCGTTTTGAATTCTTCTGAGGCGAGTCATCCTCAAATGCTAACCATCTGTCTTTTGCTTTCAAATTTTCACTAACAGTAGATTCCCCCAATGCCATACTCATTCGCTATCTCAATATTTTTCAAACGTGGATTACTGTCTTTCTTCTGACACAGCTCCTTTTTTTGGGCAAGCGTAAGTGCTGTTTGTTGTTTTTTTGACATGGATGTTTTCTTGTCTTTGATACGACGTTTTTTGAAGTTGATTTGAGCATCTTTGTTATTATTTGAGACGAAGAGCAAGCGTATAATAAAAGAAAATAATATAATGAACAAGAGAAATGCTTTTACAGTCTTAGTAGCAAGAAAGCAACGCTTTAAATCTTCATTTATGAGATTGAGATCGATGATTCGGGTTAGTTATTCCTATAACGAACGTCGTTATATTATAGTGAACTTCGTTATACAAAATAATTCGCCCAAGTGAATGGCTTTATTTATGCATGGATTTGAAATCTTCGTTATATCGTTATACTGAATATATAAATATATATTTCCAAGCAACTATTAAAATTTTTAGACCGAGGGTACAGAAAGCATGATATATTTCAAATACGGAAGCGAATAAGTCATGGATAGAAAAGGGGGGGAACAGGCCACAAATAGTGAAGACGGCTCAAAATTCGAAAAAAAAAATGGTTTGCATGTTTTTTCTGTATATGTAGACGGAGTTATTGCACAATTTGTGTTCCAGAAGTTTTTCGAACTTTATGGAAAAAGGGCGTAGAACGACGTCGTGTTTCATCACGACAATGCCGCACCGCATAATATAAGGCAAGAATCGTCTTCATAACGAACGAGTGGAACTTCTTCCCCACCCACCACACAGTCCAGACCTAACTCCTTGTGATTATTCCTTATTCCCTCGAATCAAAAAAGAAGTGAAGGGAAAAAGATTTGATAAGGTCGAAAATTTGGCAAGGGCTGTTTAGGCAGTTGTTGAAGGTATCCCAAAAGAGGACTATGAAAACTCTTTCCAGAGTTGGCGAAATCTGCTAGAACGTTGTATAGAGTATATTGGAGAGTACTTTGAAGAAATGAATTAGTTGTATTGATAATTATTATGTAATTTCTGGAAATAAAGGTCCACGCGCAAAACTTTTCAGCACCCCCACGTACACGTACACATTACACCACTACCACATTCAATATCAACTGAGATAACCCGAAATGACGACGTTCAAAGGTGTATAGGGGGCCTTTACCATACTGCGTCGAAACACTTCCATGGACACGAATCAAGTATTATGATACGTGCGCGATGTTGGTCCCCTAACGAAATTTTTGCATTAGGAGTCATCTTTCGCCATTTCGGACCATTGATGACTCTGAAAGTGAAAGTGATGCAGAGTCAATTGAAGGTGAGGAAAAAATCAGGAAGCTTTCACAGGTATTTTAGATTCAGTAGTTTTATATATTTTTATATAATAGCTATTTTTGCTCTTGTTTAATTTCTTAGGACGAGGTTAACATTCGTGATGAATAATGAAGCTCAATACGGTTCTCCAACAAAAATCCTGGAAACAAACAGGTGAATTTCAACAGTATATAAGTCAATTCACTGAAGATTTATGTGATAGAATAAACATTCCAATTCTGACCCGGAAGTCATTCGTTCCAAAGGGATTATTTGATTCTTATCGTCATGAAGCTCATGATATCGCGCAACAAATTTTAACACATTTGTAAGTGTTTTATGATCTTTACAATCGTGCTTAAAGGCTATTCCGTTTGCATGGATTATTAAATTTTGTTGTATTTTAACATAATAAACGCATAATAAACATACAATTTTATTTCTCGGCAGCCAAGTAAGATAAAAATATAATATTTTGACATTTAGTTGAGGAATTTAAAGTCTTTCAAATAAATACTAATTTGCACCGCGTCGTAGTATAATTCTATTTTTAAACGTTCATATCGAGAAACTTAAATTTTCACATTTTCCGTTGATTAAAGTCGGGTATAATAATAAATAAACCTGACCGTTTACATATTTATCAATGTTGAACTTTTGCAGGAATATATAGCTCAATACAAGCACAAATTATGGCTAAAATCGAAATTTTCAAGGAATGGTCGGAGACTTTTGGTCACACTGTACTATTTACTATATTCATTTACATCCCACTTCAGATCTCCGTCCCAAAGTGGGGATATAAACGAGGGATAACTGTTTATTTTCGGAACTATACGGTATATTATCGTTATTTACTACACTCAGTTATATCCCACTTTCAGATATTCTCCGTCCCAAAGTGAGGATATAAAAGGAGGGTAATGTGTGCCTATTGCGCTCAAGTCATATTATAAGCAATAAAAGTTAAGCAACAGAGCGTAAGCCCAGTGAAAATTGTCCGCCGAGCATAACGGAAAGCGAGTAGTAAATATAATAAGTGACGCCTATTGATTAATCATAACATCGAAGTATTGCCCTGTTATAAATAAAATTAAGAAATGTTACCTGTAGTTTCAGCATTCAGTCGTAGTTGAACTGTCGCTTGTAGTAAGGCGTTAGCTGAGCTAATTGAGTAAAAATCCGAACCGACAGTTCGCTCTCTCACAAAAGCTCCCCAATTAAATACACCGAATAGTATTCGATCTCGTTAATCGCTTGATAATACTTTCAATCCACTTGGGGTGTTTACAATCCTTTATTACTATACAACATTAATTGAACAATGTATGGTTTTTATTAATATTAATACGTTGCCTTTGCTTAAACGCCAGAAGAAATCTTGGGAGATGCAGATGTCTAGTTCTAACATCCTATCGACTATTACTGAATCCACCAATCGGAGATTTTTTCGTTAAAATTAAAATGTCACTCGACATTCGTGATCTTTCGACTTCTTAATGAAATGAATCAGTTGTCATCCCCAACCGAAACCGCTTCTTTCTTCCGATCAAAGATCGAGGAATCACTCCAGAAAACGTCAGCTACGTTAAATCAATGGAGAACATATTTAAATGATTACGAAAACTTACAGAAAACTCTTAAGACACTAGATGATGAAACCGAATACAAAGCAATGGTGAGTGATTACGTTATCCGGGATCATATTATAATGTGATAGTAATATTACCTTACTCTTTGGTAATAGGTTCCGATAGGCAAAATGGCATTTATGCCAGGGAAAATTGTTCACACGAACGAAATATTAGTGTTACTTGGGGATAATTGGTTTGCAGAACGTTCTGCTAAACAAGCCATTGAGATAATTGGGCGTAGATTGGAATGTAAATATCCCAAAGGAAAGAACTGCTTTCGATAAATTTAATTATTTCTTTGAACTTACGTTTTCATAATCTTTTAATTTGAGTGGTAAAGAAAACAATAGGTGATTTAGAAGTTCAGCTTCAGGACCAGTTAACGAAAATCGGACTGGCTTCTGAAGTCTTGGAAGGCAATGTCAATAGCACCAAGGTTAGATGAACTACATGGTTATAAACAAACCTCTTTTGCGGGATTATCTCGTGCAATATGATAGTGTTTCGTAGTTGAACGAAGAAGGCTTGCCGTTTGTTGAAATTGTCGAAGAATATAATGATGAAGAAAAGACAGAGCAAACTAAAGCCAAAAGTATGTTCTCTTGCTTCCAATGTTTATATGGTACTGCTTACCAGCAATTGATTTCTTTAATGTTTCAGCTAATGCTAGTCGCCAACCAACGCAAACACCAAGTCTATCGGCGGCGGATCATCCATCACTCAAAATCTTTGACGCTTTTTTGAAAGAGGAAGAAGAAGAATTAAGACGAGCGCGAGAACAATTAGATGAAGACACCGAAACAGAAGATACCGGCGATTCAGACGATGATGAGAACTATGTAGAACAAGACATATTTGAGTCTTCAGATGATGATAGTTCTCAAGTAACGAGAACAGATCCAGTGAACACCTTGGTGGACGACAGGTCCCAAATAAGGAGAAATGACCCAGTCAGTGCCGTAGTGGTCGAGAGAGATACGAATACTAACGTTAATATGGATGAACTTGAAAGTGAGATCTGGGCCCGAGAGGTTTGTAAAGGAATATGTCTGTGTAACGAGGTGGAATGGGATAACACGTTGCCCGACCTGTTTCTGTGAACGTAGTTCGATAATTGTACTTGTTTCTAAAGATTGCCGCTGAATACAACGAAAAACGTCAATCTATGATAGCTCAATACGGCGGATTTAATACCCCTGTTGAGGTAATTACCTTCTTTTTCTCTTTGGTCCTATTTCCATCATGCTAATTGACGTGTTACCTATAACTATACAGGAAAAAGAGGTTTCCAAGGCGGATGACAAGCCTCGCAAGAAGATTTCTAGATTTAAAGCCGCAAGATTGCAAGGTAACTTGGATTGACTGAACGCTTAGTGGGATGTTTAACTTTAAGAGCATTATGAAGCAAGAAATCATGACGGTGATTGCGGGGGGGAAAAAGATTATCAACTTGATAAAATTCTTTGAGTCTCTTGATACCACAACAATGTGAATGTAATGGTGCTCATGCTGCGAGTTGACAACTATTACATAACGTATCTCTAACTAGAGACGCGACTCTTTATCATCGCGTAATTCTGTAGTAATAAAGAGTATTATTACATCGTAACACAAATGACGAAGCGATGATGCAATGACTCTTGTTATGTAATCTCATTTTGAGCGTAACAATCATGGTGAGATTTTTATCGATGATATGTTAGCAGAAATGATTGAAAATGTGTATGCTGGGGA